TTGATGCCAGAACTTGACAGAGAAATAAATGTAACCAAAGAGATGAAGGATAAAAGTGCTGGCACCTCACGTTGAATAATTGATGATCTGTCATATGGTATTTATTAATTGTCGCTTTATGTTTATTTTCCATCAGTGATCACATGTGATACACGCAGCTGACTACAGTGGGTGGCCCAACTGTGAAAACTTGCATCAACTTGCATGCATAGGTCATCTTGGCCACAGTGAGTGCAAGTCATCGCAGGTCAACGTAAGTTCACCCGAGGCCTGGCCAAACGAAGTCACAAGTAGGCAACAAGTTTTGAGCTTGCCTCTACTTGCAGGTCCGTTTGGCCAGGGCTTTACTTTTGGAATGTCACTACTGAAGAAAAACCCTGTAAATGCAGCCAGCCTTTAATACGGCCAACTGCCACATCTCTAAACCCCATCCTGTATAATCCTTTACAATCTTACCCTGTTTACATGGCCACTCGGCCAGTTATATAGTATATGGCTTAAACCTAGAAGTATCAGTAGTTTGTATGGTGTGATTGTTTGGGTGAGGGCTATGTTCATCTTTCCAGGCTAAATATTGTATGAACCGATTGAAGTTTCAATTTTTTAAAATTTCTATCTGCATTCTGGATGTTTATAAAGGAACAGTGGTTCAGAAGTGCAATTGCGATATTAATATCTGTTACTTCTGTTAAGACGTCACTTGATTTAGATCAGTCATGAAATTTGACCCTACCCCATTAATATGGTCAATCTGTTAATACGGCCAAATTTTCATGGCACGTTGGTGACCGTATTAACAGTGTTCCCCTGTAGGTTACTGGTATCCATTTATAATCCTTGGTGACGTAAGTTGCTGTTTGAGTAAAGTGCTGTGTTCAGGATCATAACTCAAGGACTTTGGGAAGGCTTCTTAATCTGGGGACCATTTCACCTGGTGTTATGCCACTACACCATAAACATTTGTACAGTATCTAAATTATTATTATTAAATTGTACAGTATCTCAAAATAAATAAATAAATTTTTCTATTTCTTCTTTTGAACAGCTGAAGACAAAATACCTGAGGACAAGACAGGAGGAGAATGGATTATTCATAATCCATTTATTTTTATTATCCATAAGCTTATTCTAGAATGATATATATATATTTTTTTGCAATCCAGGACCAGGTAAACACTTGTGTTGTTATGCAATGATCAAATCAAAACTTAACCTGGTTCCTTCAGGGGGAATCCCCCAAGGGTATCCCTACAGGGTACCCAAGTCATCAAATTCGACAACAGAAAAAAATTAAAATGCACCTTTTTTAATTGATGCACTATTATCGCAGGATCCAAAATAGTCAGGGAAATTTTCATTTTTCAAAATCAGGGAAAGTTCAGGGAATAAATGGAGAAAATGGGAAGGTTCCCTTTTGTACTGTACCTTTGAAAACAAAAAAATAATGGCCAAACTACTGAACAACCTCCATTCAAATTAAAGCCTATAGTACAACACACTTTCAAAAAGTGACCACCGAACTAACTAAGAACAGACACTGTTTAACTTATACCAACAACTACTTGCCCCTACAGTAGTCACTACAGTATTTCTTGACCTCAACAGAACTCACATGATGTTCTTCAGCCAGCCTCAACACAAACTTCACCAAAAATATACCAGGTGAACCAGACCATAACTGATCAGTCACTGATTACTACCCTTTTCATAATGACTTGACAGGTTCTCAAAGCATCAGTCCTTTCACACTAGACGAACTACTTCATGAAACTTGTCCACTATTTTTCTTTGTGGTCGGCAGCTTGACAGTTGTTCCTTTGGGCACCTCAGAATGGGACATA